ACATTTGATTGCACAAAACATCATTTCCATTCCTCAATTTTCCCTTTCTTAGAACATTCTTCCCCCTTATCCTCTCCTCTCGTCTTCATGCCATCGGTGGAAGCACGCAATGAAGGGTATAGTGAAGGAAGGTAAATTGTTATTTTTAGTTTGGATGTTTTTGTTTTCCATTTCCTATTTAATTATTTTCAGTGATTGATAGTTTGTGAGGATTTCTGATTATCGTAAATTGATGTTGCACATGCATGTATCATCATGGGCGGATGCAGAGTTTTAAAGTTAGAGGGCATAATCGAACTTTCAAAAAAAGTTGGGAGAAATTTTACAATCGAAAATTTACGTCCAAAAAATTCATACCCAGTGTAATTTTGCATCCGAAAATTTACATGGGATATAACTTTTTCGGATGTAAAATTTCGAAAATTTTTGATATTATATTCCATATAAAATTTCCTAATAAAATGATTTGACAAATTTTGTATCGCAAAAATAATATATGTTAATGAAATAATTGATTTTTTTTTAAAAAAATGCGAGTTAGACGTCTTTTTTTAAGACTCACGTTTAACGTATTTTTAACTATTTTCGATATATTTTTGGACTATTCGATATGCCCATAATGTAGTTCTCGAAATAAGTTTTGAGATGACATAAACAATTTGTAAATTCAATTAGCGTACGATCGTTAGAGAATTTTTAAAATTAGCATGTTATCAAAATTCAAATTTATTGTGATTTTATCCCTATTTGATGGAGATTAAAATCAAACTTTTAGTTAATTTTGATAAAAATTAAACAGTTATGGATTCCATAAAATATGTTATTAAAATTAATTATTAACTTGATTTAGATTGAATTTAGATATCAATACCAAACACGATTAAAAAAATAAAAAAAATCTCAGAAGTTAGGGGGCAATTTCCCCCGGACCCCCCTAGGTCCGCCCATGCATATATGGACGGTTTTATTCATCAAATTTTAAATATTAGTATTAACATAATTCAGCTTTTGAATCAATGATTTTACGAAGATACATCTTGATATTCTTTATTGACGACAACGCATGCTCCAAGAGCCATACTTTTGAAAGTCAATTTGATCATTCAATTGGACAAACATTTGGCATA